TTCTGGTAGCATTTCGATCATCATCTTCCCGAATAAACCGAGTTCATCGGTGAGCTCGTAACGGAGTTTGCGGAGATGGTTACCGGCGGCGAGAGGTGTTTCCGGTAATTTGAGAAAGGAGAAGATGAGTATAGTTAGGGAAGAAACAGTGATGAGTAGAAATAGGAAAAACACTGGATTCTTCAAGAAATGAGGTTTCTTCATCGTTTTTGTTGCGTTGATGTCATCGATAGAGCTGCTTAAAGGTTTTCTTTAGAGGGAGAAGTAAGAAGATGAAGCTCGATCTGGGAAAAAGGAATTCGTAATTTACAAGTTAGAACGTCTCGAAATTTGGATTAGGGTGGGCTTTTAATAATTTTGGCCCAAATCATATTTTTTTGCTTGACTTTGAGGTAGAGATTTGACCATAGTCAGATCATATTAATTTTAATAAATTTTGAGAATTTTCGAACACTATAGAAAATTACTATTTTTTTTTATGTAAAAACATTACTTCATTTAAAATTTTATAATTTCAACAGTATACTTTTTTCATCCATCTTTTAACATTTACTCGAAAATATTTGTTAAATTCCTAATTTTTTAATGTCATAACATTACTTCATTTAAAAAATTTATAATTTCAAAATTATACATTTTTCATCTATCATTTAACATTTTCCTCAAAAATATTTGTTAATGTCAAAATAGAAAAAATTATTGCCTAAACCATTAAAAATAAACAAACTAAACCATCAAACGGAAAAAGCAAAATGGGAATTCAAAGTTTCAAACATGTAAAAGGAAAATTCGAACAATTTTTTTTTTGGCAAATAGAAATTCGAACATGAAAATGGGAAATTCGATAATGTAAACAACACAACGTAAAATGGAAAATCTCAAATCGCTCCTTCTATATATACGTGACTCTGCTCATCATAATTTTCATCAAGCAAACTCTTAATTTCCTCTGTCTTTCAAAGTTCAATCTCTTAATTTTTCTTTGCGTATCTTTCGAAAGTTTCCACAATGGAGATGTTACTTGGTGGCCGAGCAACCAATGGAGCTCTCCGTTCAAAGACGAAGATAGTTTGTACTCTTGGACCGGTTTCAAGATCGGTGGAGATGATTGAGAAGCTTCTCAAGGCTGGTATGAACGTAGCCCGGTTCAATTTCTCCCATGGTTCTCACTCTTACCACAAGAAACTCTCGATAATCTCCGAACTGCCATGAACAACACTGGTATCCTCTGCGCCGTCATGCTCGATACAAAGGGTCCTGAGATACGAACCGGTTTTCTCAAAGAAGGCAAACCGATACAGCTAAACCAAGGTCAAGAGATCACCATCTCAATTGATTACAAGATAGAAGGAGATTCAAACATTATCTCCATGAGCTACAAGAAACTTGCAGAGGACGTCAAACCTGGTGATGTGATTCTCTGTTCAGACGGCACAATCTCTTTAACTGTCTTGTCCTGTGACAAGTCTTTCGGTCTTGTTCGTTGCCGTTGCGAGAACTCTACAATTCTAGGAGAAAGAAAAAACGTTAATCTTCCTGGAATTGTAGTTGATCTCCCAACACTTACTGAGAAAGATAAAGAAGATATCATCCAATGGGGAGTTCCGAACAAAATCGACATCATCGCTCTTTCTTTTGTTCGTAAAGGATCTGACCTAACTGAAGTTAGGAAGTTACTTGGAGAACACTCAAAGAACATCATGCTCATGTCAAAGGTGGAGAATCAAGAAGGGGTCATGAATTGTGAAAAGATTCTGGAGAATTCTGATGCTTTCATGGTGGCTAGAGGAGATCTTGGAATGGAGATTCAGATCGAAAAGATGTTCCTTGCTCAGAAAACAATGATCAAGATGGCTAATGCTCTTGGGAAACCAGTTGTCACAGCCACACAGATGCTTGAATCCATGACAGTATCTCCTCGTCCGACTAGAGCTGAAGCCACTGACGTTGCAAACGCTGTTCTTGACGGGACAGATTGCGTTATGCTTAGTGGAGAAACCGCTGCAGGAGCTCACCCTGAGGCTGCCGTGCTAACAATGTCAAGGATCTGTAAAGAAGCAGAGGATTTCATCGATTACGACATTCTCCACAAGAAAACCCTAGGAATGCTTTCGTTACCGTTATCTCCGATCGAGAGCTTAGCTGCTTCAGTTGTTTCGACGGCACAGAGTGTTTTTGCGTCGGCTATCGTCGTTCTCACCAAAGGCGGTTACACGGCGGAGCTTGTGGCTAAATACAGGCCGAGCGTTCCGATTTTGTCGGTGATTGTGCCTGAGATTGCTCAAGGGAATGATATAGAGATGTCGTGCTCGGACTCGGTGGCTCATGTGGCGAGACGTGGTTTGATTTACCGTGGGATTATTCCGGTGGTGGCGACGGGATCATCGGCTAGGGATTCAAACAAAGATGCAACGGAGGAGATGATTAATTTGGCTATCGGATTCGCGAAGACGAAGGGAATTTGCAAGAATGGAGATTCGATTGTGGCGTTGCACAAGATTGATGGTTCCTCTGTTGTGAAGATAGTGAGCGTTGAGTAATCAAGTTTTATTTCGGTTTAAGTTTTTTCGGTTCAATAATAATAAGTCATGGAACTTTAATTTCGGCTTAAACATTGTTTTTGATCATATGATAATAAAGTTTCAGACAGATTTCATTATTTGTTTTTAGTTGTTAAAATTTTGATTAACACCAAACCAAACTAATAATTTTTAAAAAAAACTTGTATCACAAGTTTTGTTGCTTCTCTTATAAACCAAGGGAAAAGTAGATTATCCGGTTTATGGAAAAATAAACATGCATTCACTTATTTTGAATGAGTTTCTAAGCGGTAACTCCAATGGGAACATTCTTGAGTCTTGATGTTCCATAAAGGGTTTCTTCGAAGCGGATGATCTCGTTCTTTGAGCCATAAGCAACTTGAGTTCTATCGTCGAGGTTGATGATGGTCTTGTCAAGCACGGACTTGTGTCCATCACTGCTGAATCCACCAGCATTCTCTATGAGCAGGCCAAGAGGAGCCACTTCAAACAACAGCCTCAACTTTGCCTTAGCCGTAGGAGAAGTCACATTTGTGAAGATTCCTTTCTCCTTCACAATAATCTGCCAAAAACCCAAGTTACTACTAAAGTCAAGTTTCCAGTCACAAGTAGAAAAAATCCTGTTATAGTGTTGAAGAAGAACAAACCTGGTTAACATCAGGAACCATTCCTCCGGTGTATCGCAGTGTGTATTTCTCTTTCACGTAGTAATCAATCAGCTGATTTCACAAGAAAAGCATTCAGAGTGAGGATTAGATTTGAGCAAAGATTAAAGTTAGATCGATCCAAAGCAAGAACCTTGCTGTATTCGGAGTTGTCGAATGTGGCTCTTAAGTTTCCTGGTGAGAACATTTTCCCTTCTGCGATCTCTGTTGTCTCCTTTACATGCTGCCATTTCCCTGAGGCAAAATTTTGAGCTTAGTTTAAAAGCTTACCAAAGAAGGAATCTTGATAAAACAGGACTAGACCAAAACCTTCATCAAGAAGCAAGAACTCATGAGTTCCTGGAAAGCCCTTAACAGCCAAAACATAAGTGGTTCGTGGACCGTAGATTCCCATGGCTGCAGCCACTTGATCTCCTCCAGTGATTCCGGTTAACTTGTCTCCAGGCCAAACACCGAATATGGTTCCCACAGTGAAATTTGTATCCACAATGCTTGATCCATCCAATGGATCAAACGCAACACTAAACCCACCTGTCCAAATAAATTTCATATTCTTTCGATAACTATTTTTCGCGCGATTTAAAGAAGCGGAAATGTTAGTTAAGTTTATGTAAAACCAACCTTCCACTGGACCTCCCATGTCTTGAAGCTCAGGTACTTCTTCAGAGCAAGCATACTTGCACACATGCGAGTATTGCAAAGCCTATAAAACCAATACACAAATCAAAACCTAATGAACCATTTTTCTGATACAAAGCTTATGACATAAGTTAATTCAAAATGTAACAAAAAACCTCAAAGAGAAGCTTATCAGCAAGCATATCAACAGCGAGTTGTTCATCACCAAAGGAATTAACACAAGCTGTTCCACCGCAAGAAGCTGTTCTAACTTTAAAAGCTATTGTTCTCAATGCTTCTCCCATACACATCAGCAAAGTTCTCAATCCCTTGTCAGGAGTTGCTTGTGCCAAAAACTCTTCCTATACATTCAAAAGTAAGAAACTTTAACTGAAAGATGGAATCTTCATAATACAGAATTTGAATAAAGATTGAGTCTTTGTGTTACTCAACCAAGCTTTGGCCAATTTCACATTTGGTCACAGTTGAAGCACCATTGCTCTTAGCTTTTGTGGCTTTAAGTTGCGATTTTGGTGCTAATCGTAGTGAATCTCCGAAGATTGAGCTCGATTTTAGACGCTGCTTTTATCAAATTATTACAATTAGTAATCACTAGTACTGAACAAATCCTACACTGAAGATAAGCATAAGTGCAAAGGATAACGAACCTTGAAGCTGGAGGATGTGGAGTAGGAAGGAGGAGAGACCAATGTAGAGGATCGTTGAGAAGAGACACTTGGGGGAAGGATCCCACGTGAGTAGCACGCGATGCTGGTCTCCATTGTTAGAAGCTCGAGGTTTTTTGATCGAAGAAGAAGAGCTTTGAGTAGAGAGAATGGTGAAGACAAAATAATCAAGAACACAAGTGGACTTGGAAGAGATAAAGGCTGTTCACGGTCAGAGTGACACGTGGCAGTAACTGAAGAAGATATGATTAAGCTCTGGTGATGGGCAATTGGGCGAGAGAGAGACCGAGGCAAAGAGATGTGTTGAGAGGCTTTGATTTGCGTTCATTCATTTTTTGTGTGGTTATGAGATTCTATTATCTTCAATTTCAGTTTACATCACCAATGACATACAAACCAAATTATATTTGTGTGGCTATGCAAGTAGAAGTTAACATTACATTTGGTTGTTTATTTTTGTATAAAATATATCTGCCAAAAAAAAAAGATTATATCAAAGACAGGTTTCGATCCTGTGACCTGTGGGTTATGGGCCCATCACGCTTCCGCTGCACCACTTTGATTTTTTGATTTAAATAATAATTTTAAATTTATAAAGATTATTAAATATACATTTTTGGAATGTCATAAGATTCCTCATTAATATCTAAGGAATGACAGGGAATATTATAAGATTTTGTTACATATTTTTCATTTTAGTTTTTGTTAACTTAGAAAAAAAAATCATTTGTTCAGTTTTTGGTTATTGTAAATTGATTTTCATTAGTTTGATTAATGGCTAATAGCTCTCAATAGCCTCTCATACGGCTATAACTTTACCAACATTTATCATAAACCTTTCCACAATGGATTTGAACCAAGAGATCTTTAAATTCAAAACTTTGAGAAAGATCTAGAATCCCTACTAAACACAAAAAAGCTATTTGGTTTACCATAAATAATTTTAGTTTATTACATAATTTTACATATTAAATAAGCATTGACAAATATAACAATAAAATCCACAAACGTCCGTGCAAGACACAGAATAAACCCTAATACACAATACAAAAGGATATGAAAGAAAAAGTGAAACCAATATTACAGCAAATCAAACAGTAACACTGAAAACATAATCAAAATCTATATACAATATTCAGTTATATTACACTAAAAGCCAATAACTTATAAAAACCATGAACAAGAAACTTTGTAGAACATCGCTTCTACATCCGTTACCAAAATCCTCACCACCTCCTCCACCATGACCTCCACCGCCACCACGGCCTCCTCCTCCGCCACCGCGAAGCTCCCGACGCCAAACTGGAAAATTGATCTCAGAAGACGTTTCATGTTTCAGATTGGCTAGTGAGACAGAGGTTACAGTGGTTGAACCAACGACTTGAATATGTGCATGGATCGCTAGTAGTAATAGTAACATCAGAGCGATTGGGGTAATTGATTTGTGTATAACCATTTTTTTTTTCCGTTTATCTTCAAAAAGAACAAGATGTGTTTGTGTTATTCACCTATAGACATCTCTATTTATACGAATTTCATCCCGCCAACGTCTCAATCTTTTACTTTTATTATTACTATTATATTATGATAACTTTCAAGAACTATTCTAGTTTACCTCTGAGAAAAAGAAATGGAAAATGGTCCGGACCGAAGCAAGATGTTGAAGTCAAACTTATCCTTGCATATCCAATCGTTTTATTGAAATGGCAAATTAGAAATAGAAACCACAAATCAAATATACGTCAATCTTCACATATCAGATGTGGATTTTGAAACTTTCTTCATTATGTTTTGAATGAAACTTTCTTCATTGAGTTTCATACGAAATTGTTTTTTTTTTTTCGTATAAATTCAATTTTGTTTGTGTATGTCAAAGGTTGAATACTTGAATCTTTTGTTTTTCCCAAACATTTTAAATTAATACTAATGTTGTTTGGTAAGACGCACAAGTTTCGTGCCTTGACTATTCAATCTAGGTTTTATAATGTTGATCAACTCTTGTAGTAGTGTTGGCTAACGTAACCCAGGAAAAATGTAAAATGCATTCACATTTAACGTATTAGTTGATTTATGGAATTTGGTTTCTATTTGAACTATGTTTAAGGAAGTTCACATTACATACCAGATTTTGTAAGGTTCGTCGAAGATCTTATGGAACTGGTAGTACATACTTATTAATAGAGCAACTAAGGATATTGATTCTCTGACCATTGACGTTGACTTATTATATCTAGTATGGTATAACTAATAGCAGTATAGCGCTATAGTAGAGTTTTGTGCACAAACCCATTGTAACTTTCTGATTTTTGGGCATCAGAAAGCGAGATTCATTTGAAGAGGTCGTAACTCGTAAGAGATATTCACAAAGATCCATATATGTGGCAAAAGAGCTATGTTGGAAAAAAAATGTAATGAATGCACTATTGGTCCATCCATATGATCTACCTAAAAACTGACACAAGACAGGATTTTTGGAGTCTGTTCAAAAATCATCAATACATAGCAAAACACAAGCAAAGATCACAAGACATGGTAAAGGATGAGAACGATCTTGCTTATTGGGTCATGCTGCCATGTCAAATGATTCTTGGTGTCCTGCTACTTCTCCATCTTCAATGTACCTTGACTCTTTTATACACCTGATTACTGTTAAAAACGATTGAACAGACATGTCATCAATCAATTTCAGTATTCACACACACTACACTATTGCTTCAGCTTCTATAGTTTCTATGTGTGAGACCCAAAATGCCATTCCCTGAGCTATAATCATCACAGATAAGAGTTTTTCTTGTATCAAGACACTCATAGTTGTTCATGAAGTTTACCACATACCAAATGATAGTCTCAAAATATCTGCAAACATAGCCGTAACCTATCATAACCTAAGCCAATCATCAACCAAACAAATGATCTAATTCCAAAGAAAGAAGAAGCAGAGGAAACAGAGACAGTACCTCTCACTTCTACATCAACAGGTAAAGCATCACCACTTGCACAAAGAATCCAACCAAAATCTCTTTGAATCTTCTGACTTTGCCTCCATCCGAGAAGTCGAAGCTGTACTTACTAGTCATGTTATGATGCAAAAGTCCCCAATTCCTAATCCCTTGCTTAGCATCTTTCTCAACAAGCTCAAAGATATAAACCTCTGAAACACCTTCTTTCCTCAACGGTGTTCCACATCCACTTCTCAGATGAGTCAACAAAGCTTTCAAGAACATCTCACTATACAACAACGTCGCATCTACTTCACTAGCATCAATTCCAGAGCTAGGCCAACCAGTCTCCGCCACAATCACCGGAAGATTCTCATGACCCATAACAGCCATAGAGCTAATCACAGCATCAACCATCATATCAAAAAGATTCCGGTATCTTACTCCGGTGGTCAGATCATCTCTGAAATTGAACGGGAACTCTTCAAAAAGAGCAAATCCAATCGGAATCGAGAAGCTAGACCGATACATATTGTAGGGATAGAGATTGATCAAGAAAGACGAATTCGTTCTTTCGAGGAATTGCAAAATCGGTCTGATGATAACTTCTCCGTTAGGTTGTTGAAACTGCGCCGACGAAGGTGGAAATGCCGTGGGTACGATGTTGAAGAAAGAGAACGTCGTTGATACAGAGATCTTGTAGATTCTCAGATCTACAAGAGATAGATGAACATTCTGCATCGCACGGAGGAGAAACGGAGATACGTCCGGAGAATACGAAATCACGTCGTTACCGACGGAGATGATTGAGATCTTGGTGCGAGGATAAAAAGGAAGCACATGGCGATAGACCCAACGCATCGCGAGAGAACGATTTGAAGCGAGGAGAGGAACTAGTGGATTTGGTACGGAGAGGAAGAGAGATACGTTTGTGTAAGCGAAGGCACGAATCATCGCCGGATTTGAATCGAGGAGTCTCACCGCCGGAATGTTCATTGAAACGACTTTTTCGGCGATTCTGTCCGGTGAGAGTTGTACGGTGCCGGAGATTGAAGCTGGAGTCGAGTATGTGACTCCGATCGTTGTGGCGGAGGTTGTCGTAGGTGTAGCTATGGCGGTTAACGAGATAAGGAGGAGGAGATAAGAGGAGAGAGAGTGCATTTTCTTCATTCTCTTTTTCTTTCTTTCTTTCTTCGAAGTTAGAGAGAGAAAGTGAAATCGGAGACTGAGAATTCTGATCAAGAGAGACTAAAGGTTGAAGACGAACTATGTGAGAGAATGGGCGGGAGGATTCTGTTAGAGGAGTTAATGTTCCTCTGTGCTACAGTGTATGTTTGTAACTGTAAACATCACTCGTAACCTAGACGTTGATGTGACTACACGTGTCAGATGTTTGACCACAGTCTTACGGCGTTGAATAGTATAGTCAAAACCCTCTATATTACTTGGAGGCTTCTGTCTAGAGAAACACAGAAAAAACGAAATTGAAGATTTATAAGGAAAGTTTCAGACTTTTTATAGATAACCAAATCACCACACAAACATAGAATTTTAGGAGACATCAATGGAAATAAGAACATCAAAGCATAGATTACACACACGCTCTCACAAAGAGAAATCAAACTGAATCAGTTTGGCATTAACTTCAAATTTTAGACTAGAGAGGAGAAATTATTGGATTTTAAGATTCAGGAACGGAGGCTGCTGGTACACCGGCGGCGACTGCTGCGGCTGCAGAGCGTTTGATGGAAGCGGATTTGATTAAGTGGTTGTAACTTCCCTTCTCCTTGAAGAGCTGAGCGAAATGGTGCTTGCAGTACAGGATTCCTTCAAGAGCTGCGTAGTTGGAAGGTGAAATTGGGCAACCTCCATGTGAGCACTTGAAGCAGGACTTGTGATATGTCTGGCTCTCGACTGTTACCTGCATATTTCAGAATCGAAAAAGACGGATATTTGTGACCAAATAGCTTTTAAAAATCCCATAAAGAGTTTTCATATTAAGTCTCCTTTATAGGTTTAACATGCAAATTAAAGTAACAAGAACCGATATCTCCAGGGTCTATGCATCTGTGCAAAACATTTGGTTTCCTTGCAAGTTCTCGGTAACTGAGGGGATTATGTATCTATCCTCAACATGAAATAGAAAACACAGGAGAATTCTTGCAAATGATGGAACTGTGTTTTAGAGTAATACTCCAACATAGACCTTAGAGTGCAGAAAGGTGATTCCAAAGCTTCAGTTAATGGAAAATGCATGAGTGAAGGAAGAGCAATGAAAGATTAAACGAGTTATAACCTTTTCAATAGGATACACAGTTTTACTACAAGTGGCGCATTTCTCTTGTGTACCAGAGAACCTGCCAGCAACTCGGCTAGGCGTCCTTGTCTGAAAACAAACCAAGAAGGAAATATAAGAGAAAAGTTCAATCAGAAAATGTATCCAAAGAGCATCTGACCAAACCAGAAAAGAAACATTTACCAGCTCAGGAGTTGATTTGTCAGCCGATTTTGCAGCTGTGAGGAAACAAAGTTGCAAGACTGATTAAATCAATAACCAAAAGAAGGGCAAGCGGAAAAAAAACATGAATCGAAGCAGAAACAAAACTACATACGTGACTGAAAGT